AATGGGCTCCAATGTAAGCTACTGTAAGGTTACTCGTGCCAAACACACCCCATCATCAGGCAGTTCCCCTGCAGGTCTGATAATAAATCTCTCTGAACATCTACACTGTCAAGGGTTATGTCTTATTCTGTGTATTCCACAAACAGATTTCTGCAAGTCAAATGCTGCATGAAGCCATGAGATGCTACATACAGGAGCAGCCTGGGAGGCAGTTTCTGCTTTCTAATTTGCACTTGTGATATCATTGCATATCGACAGAATTATTCTTTCCTTTCTCCGAAATACCACTGATAAGTAAAATATTTTTAGCAGGATCTTCATCTGGTGAAAGTCAGCATAGCTCCACTGAACCACTGCTAAAGCAATTTACACCATCTGAAGCTCTGGAGCAAAAAAAAATCCATGTCAATGGGCTATAAGCCAAAATTGGAGTGTTTTGCTGGATACAAACCAGATTTACTTGCTTGCTTGCTTAAACAGGTGCCTAAGTGCTCTAGTGAATTGGGGCCCAAATACAGCACCATTTTTTGTGTCCACTTCTGCCAGCTTGGACATTTGATACAGAGGTCATCTTATAGCTGCCTTAAACCCGCCTATAGCCACAATACAGAACAGCTGCCTGTGGAGTTATGTTCCACACACAACTTTAAAAATAAAATGCAAGTGACTGGAAAACGTGGGTTTATAACTAGAAACAGAATACATGCGTACCTTGAAATAGAAATAAATGAAACACTTTTTGCATGCTGAGAAAAGAACTAATAATCTCGTATTTCTATTGCATTCTCTTGTAGTACTGATGTTTCAACACTGCAGTTTAGAGTGTCCTAGAAATGTCTTAGGTGGAACTGGCTAGACCAGAAGCACTGTAAGGAAAAAGGTTTTACACATACATTAAATGAGTTTTCGCCTACACTTCATCTGATTTCTCTATAAGGAATCTATACTTGCCATAACTGCAATTTCAAACACTTTTAGCAATGTAGCTATGTCCCCATAGATGTACACTGTTTAGTACATGGTTAGCAACAGCACAGCTTACAAGAGTGGCTACTGGCTCCTCCAACTCATCCATCCAACTGGCAAATTCTGACAAGTAACTTGAAATCCCACCTCCCAGGAGTGGTTTTATATATTGGACCATGACCATTGGATCAAAAAATGCAAAAGTAAGCTTGGAGACCATGTCCAGAATGCAAGATTCTCCTCACTTTCCTGAGTCCTTGGTCACCAGATGACTCCTTCTTTCTCATTTGATTTCTGTTCCAGTCCATACTTCATCTCTGCCTGAAAGATGCCTAACCATTGTGACTGAGGCAGCGGGGACCTTTCCTCTCCCTGTCCCTCACACACAGGCAAGCTCACCTCTGGCCACCCGGTTAGTGAAACCCAGTGAGAGGTATGTTGGAGAAAAAAGGAATTTATGTCTTTAGGTTTTATTTAGAGTCACCATTACGCTTGTTTAAAAAAACAGTAGCTGTCAAATTTATTATTTTTTCTGTTGCTAGGAAATAAGCATGATGTGAGCTGCTTGGTAAATTGGGCCATCAACGAACCTTGCCCCGGCAAGGAGGAGGTGAGGAATCTCATGGGATTTCTCCCTGCAACCAAGGGAGAAAGAATTCTAGTGTGAATTAGCCCTGCCAAAAGTAACTCAGGCAGTTCTCCAACACCAGTGGGTTTCTAAGGTATTATTTAATACCGTAACAAACTCAACAAGATCACATCTTTAAGTGCGCAATTTAATTGCTATTTTAAATAATTAAATCTCAATAGAAAATTAATGAAATAAAGCATCTAGGTTAATTTTGCAATTATCAATTGTAACCTTATATAATTAAGCCTTTTGCAAAATAGGCTTGAGTCATAAATGAAGCATATATTTGTGTAAATTTTAACTGGATAGAACTGCAAAAGTAACCAAAAATAAAGGGATATTACAGGCTCTGAGGTCTTGAGATATAAAAGATAATTTACTATCCACAACTACCAATAAAGAACAGCATTTGCATTGGGAAGAGTCTGCTATTTCATCCATCAGTGCCTCACCTTATTTTGCATCTCAGGCTTGTTTTGTGTCACCAAGCCAGAGGCTAAATACATTTAATATGCCAGCTACTGTCATGTCGACACAGAACTAAGCAGCCCTGCAATGTCTCTTTTGCTACTTTGTGGCAAACATAACTACAGTTAGAAATTAAGGAGAAAGTATCAAAGGATGCAGGCTGATTAGCAAATGCTATATAGTAGAATATTTAAAAAACCTGTCAGGTTTATAAAATTAGGGATAGATGATTAGTGCCTTGATTTTTATATCAGAGGATTATAATATTGCCAGAGTGGGGGAGAAATAATGAAGACCTCTGAGGAGTGGATGAAGTGGCTTGCAAGTAAAAGAAACACAACATCTTGTGTGCATTCAAGAGGCGGTTACAGGCTACCTTGAAAAGGCTGTGAGCCCAGCCCTGCTGTGCCCAGGGCTGAGAGGCTACTACAGCTCAACTCATCTTGCAGCAGCACCACTAAGATGTGCATCTCCAGAGGACAGTGTAATGACACCAGCGCAAAACCTAACACTACAGTGCAGAGCTCCCCGTGAATATATTCTTCTTTGGCCCTCTCCTTTGGAAGTTTTCCCTTTTGCTAAGAAATTCTTGTTCCTCAGCATGCTGTTGCCTTTTTTATTTTGATTGTATTTATCTGATTCTTGCTCTGAAGAAAAAACACAATGTAATGAATCACATGGTTTTGAGTCCATATTTGGAAGAACCGTGACTTCTGCACATATAGAAAGTAAATATAGCAGGAATTTACAACTTAATAAATACTTCTCGTATTCAAGGATATCAGCAAGGGGATCCTCTAGAAATTCTAGATGCTACATTCCCCCACATAAAATCCAACACAGTGCCAAAAGTCAGTAAGCAAACAGAGTTTTCCAGGGATAAATCACAAAGAGGTAGATAAGAGCAGGGCATCCTTTGTAACCTATGCAAAGTCACAAAGATAATTAAGCATCAAACTCCTGCTCCCACTCTTCCACTTCGTCAGCTGCAGAATGAGGAGAAAAGCATTTTTACCCACCCTCCCACAGACCTCTTGTGAGGGTAAGAGAACTTGGTGCTTGGATGCCATGCTGTTAGGGCTAAATAAGGAGAGAAAAAGAGGGAGGGGAAACTTTCACACATTACAGGTGATTTGGCCAAATAGTTGGAAAATACTCGAGATTGTGTCATTAGGAGGACTAGCTTTACATTAAATATGCCAGCATCAGTGGGAGATGAGGACCAGGCACAGCTACTGTCTAACCAGAGAGAAAACGCAGCAGCATCAGAGAGAGATGGAAGTAGTCATTTGCCACGATGGACCTACAGGGCCAGTTGATTCCAGTTCCTAAAGTTTTCTTGTGCTTTCAGACCCATTTTTAATTGCTTTGTCTCATCAGGGAAGATGAGTACACGAGCCGCAGGTCTTTGTTCTGTAAACTATGAAGTGCTAAGAGAACATAAGTTTTACCACCGCTATTTATTTTACCCTTTGGTGTTCTGTCTCTCTTTCCCGATTGGTTTATGATGACTAATGTCAAAACTCCGTTCCCAGTTATCTCTCTTAGGAAAAGAGATAATATAACATGACATTTAATACAGTGTACCACAGGCCATCCTCTTTCTTCCAAACATTAAATCACGTACATAGCAAGAAGCAATCATAACAATAGATGCATCTTTTATTCACAGATAAAAACTGAAGCAAGCTGTTATAATACACATTTGTACAAAGGATTTGAAAAAACCATAAAAAGGAAGATGATTAGAAAATATGATTCATTATGAAATGTGGTATTACATACACTATTAAACCTTTTCAAAAGTATTTGTTTGGCAACAATTTATCAATAGTTTCCACACTTAAGTGGCCTCCTTCAAAAAAGCACAAATCTCATGCAGCATGTATAAACTTGATCCTGAGGGTTTGCCTTCCTTAGAAAAACTGTAAAAAGATATACTATTTGTCTTAAAAGTTCAAAATGCAAATGCTATATTTATAGTCAAAACTATATAAAAATATGGACCTAACTTAACATTTACAAAACCTTTTTGTTCCTTTTTTTTGTTTGTTTTATGGTTTTGGTAATAAACATAATTCTCAATTCCTGCAGTCAGAGAGGAAAAAAGAAAACCAAAACAAAGCACAGTGCCCTTTGTAGACTTCCTCACATTAAGTTTACAACTCCAAAAAGACCAGGTCTGTGATAAGTGAGGTTAGTAACCAAGGAAGTAGGTAAGCTAATATATATCTATATATGTATATATAAAATGGAAAACAAACATTTATTTTGATCTGAAAAAGTAATAATACAAAACCTGAAGGTAAAACAATCATCTCAAAATGCCATAATACACCTTTTCAATAGATAAATGTTCATAAAAATATCTTGAACCCTAACCAAGAAAACAATTATAATACAATTTTAATTCTGCTACATAAAACAGCTTTTCTATGAAACAAGAAGGCAAGTTCAGGTATGAAAACATAATTTACTTATTGCTTTTGCTACAATGCTGTTTGTTTTTTACATATAGTCATAAATACACTATACAGTATAAAATATTTCGTAGGAATACATTTTGCGGTCTGCTTAGGTTTGCTGGCTTTAATTTTAGCACCAAATACAAAAACAAAAATCAAATGAACTTTAAAGGCACTTCCATTGTACGTTTGTTTGTTTGTTAATTAACATCTTAGTTTGTACTAAATTTCTTTGCTTCCCTCTGGTAGAAGCAATGCTTGATCCTACTTTTATCTTTGTACAGTTCAGGTCACGTTGAGGCACCAAATTATTTATGAACATTCCCATCCCTCAGCTGTTTCTTTCTCTTACAACGTTCATTGTTGCTTTTTAGTCTTCACCTTTCCTGCTTCACTTCCCAGCTACTTTATCTCTTCTTCATGTCGGGCAATCCAGCTCCACTTCCTTCAGTCCCTTGAAAAACCTCTCTTCAAACTTCCACTTCCCTTACTCCATCTTGCGCATCTGTTATTCCAATATCAAAACACGTCACTATCATGATATGTGACTTGCACAGATTAACACACTGCTCCAGTTCCTCTGTCACTTGTTCCAGTGCCTCCAGGTACTCCTGTGACTCCTTATCGAGATCAGGATCCACTTCAACTGTTGGACAAAAAATTAGTGAGTAAGAGAAACAGCTCATAGCAAAACATTATTCTATCACAAGGGAGCTAATAATGTAGAGTACAATTTTATTTCTCCTGAGCTAAGAAATTTTTTTCAATGTGTTCAGCAGATACAAAACACTACCTTGAGGCTCCAGTTAAGCACAGCACTCAGTCTCTGTATAAATCTCATGCCTCAGTTTCCCAGCTGTAATATGGATATCAAAACATATTTTTCCTTCTTTGGAAAGAAGTATGATAAAAGGTTATATAAATATTTAATATGAACAAGCATCACAGTGAGTCTCTGCATTGTTTTGACGTTCTCTTGTGGTTGGTTTGGAGAGGTGTTTTTGTTAATTTCCAGTACGACTCAGCACTGAACAAATCCCGTACCACAGAAACACAAATGAAGTCACAGAGTACTTTAGGGCTTAATTCAGCAAAATATCTTAGCAAGTGCTTAACTTTTCCAGTGGGATGGCTCACATGCTGAAAATTTGTTACATGCTGATCATACCGCTGTTTTTGCAAAATACTTACAGTCGTCTTTCCACTTATTTGGATCCATCATCAATCTGCACTTTGTCTCTTCCAACTCTTCTTTCAAAAATTCATGCTTTGCCTTTACTTCTCTGATTCGCTGCTGGCGCCTTTCTAGTATCTTCAGCTTGGTATGGAAATACATCAGACCCTTTTAAGACACAGAAAGACCATTTCATGAATTTGCCTGTTAGGAGCTAACCTCCAACAGTTTGACATAAATTGCTCCTAGCGCATTACTTGTAAGAGTTAGCAGGTAGGTTGTTTTGTTTGGTTGTGGGGTGTGTGTTTGGGTTTGGTTTTTTTTTTTTTATTTGAAGTTTACATCAAGGATTCTAATCTAGAGGAACAGCATGCTACATCACTTGAGCATTTGTTCCACTTCTCTGAATCAGCAAACATCTCTTAATACATTCTGAAATTACTACTGTTTGTAGAGGTATTTTTTTTCCAGCAGTGCAAATACTAAACACAGCCTAATAACAATGTTAATAATTATATTTAATCCTAAAACATATGAATTCTTATTTTCTTAAAAGCATTCCTACCTTCTCAACATCCTGGAAAGGCTATTATGAAAGAAATGGGAAAAAGGCATCAGAAGAATACAGAATTCTGGTCTCCAAAACAGAATTAGCTGAAGTGTTTTCCGATTACAAGTAAATTAAACTCAGTGTATCCCTGGTTTAATAGAATCCTGTCATTTACATAAAGAGTTAATGACCCTATCATTGAGGGAACCTGTAAGGTTTCATCAACCAGGCTAAGATTATAAAGTCTTCTCATAATGTATTCATCGGTAACTTCCATTTATACCATCAGTCATGTTAGACACAATTAATTTTAGACAGTAATAATTTTCACTTTCTGTGTTAAGGGTACCCCAACATATGAATTGTAAAACTAATAATTACAGTGCTTTAATTGCAATCAATTTCCTGAACACCACTCCGGCATTCAAGCAAGGACTCTGCCTGTATACTGTAATTCAAGTTGTCTACAGTTGTTGTAAAATATGTGCTGACCTCAGTTTCCTCTTGTCTGTGTCGCTGTAATCGTTCCACATCATCAATCTCATAAACTTTAATTTCAAATGGCTCTTTTAAAGTGCCTGGCAAAGGTGGTAGATCAACCCATTGGCCAGTGACGCTGGGTTTTCTTCCTAGTGAGGCAGCATCTGGCAATGGAGCAGGAATCAGTCTACGACGCTGGAGACCTAAAATACAGAAGACAAGCATTCCTCAGACTCTAGGAGACTAACAGACTGCAGAACATACTGCAGCAAATTAAAGAAAGATCTAGGTTCTCGGGATATTTAGGAAGAAATGCTTTTCTCGATCTTTTTCTTTTAGTAAAATTCCCCCGGGTTTCTCATTGAGTTACTGCCTTAACAAAGTATGTTCCACTCGGTTCATGGATGGGAGTAACAGTAGTTCCTCTCCCAAAGCAGATATCTGAGCATCAGTTCTTTATTCTCTCCTTGCAAAAATATTTTGCCTGGATTCAGTTTTCTTTGGTGGGCCACAATGGTATTCACTATCTTGCAATGGCAATGAGATACTGAGTAATTTCAAACCAATACTGATAGTAGCAGACAAATCTGGAATCTCCTGCTCCCACAGTTAATGCCAAGCAAGGCTATCTAAGATCCCTCTCATTGTATTACCTCTTCGCAAAGAGCAAACATTTCCCTCCAGAACTACTACCCATGCTTTAAGGTGCTAAATACTGGCAGTTTTCAATGACTTCATGGGATTGGGAGGCATTCAGAAAGCAGCAACCAACCAAGCTGCAACCTGAGCCACCTCTAATGTTGAGGCCTACCACCACCCATTGGAACCAGCACTCAGAAGCTCAGAGCATGACAAAACTCACCAAATTCTTCAACAGGAGGGCTCCCAGATTTACAAACAAACACCATACTGCCACCTTGATGCATCTGCTAGGGCTCGAGTTCAATGAGGCAGAGACTGACTTATGTCCTTCAAAAATGCTGGTACTTTTGTATATAAGAGTTGGCACTTCGGTGTCCAGCATTTTTTGCAATTATACGTCTCTTCATTCTCTAAAAGGCTGACCTTTACACTGCACATGTCAAGGATGACTACATGCACAGAGCTGGTAACAAGGCTGCAGTCCAATCCCTAGGTAAAGAGGAGGGCTGAAGGCCACCAGAAACAAGCTGAAAAGTTACATGGTAGCAGTAAGGATAAGCAGCTTTTGGGTGACTGGTGGCAATAAATATAGTGCTTAATTTCCTCCTCTTACTGAAAACCAAGTCAGAGGTAAGGAATCTTATTTCTGGTCTTCTTACAAAGGGGAGCACATCAAACAGACAAGACAGTGCTGCTCAGAGGACAGTGCCGCCAAAATAACTTCTGGGCTGAAACCTCTACTGGAGAGTCAAGTGCAAGTTAAGCCCTGTCACAAACTTCCACATGAAATGGAGACAAAATTCCAGCAGGTACCCCCAAAGCAACACACCTCCATAGATACCTGAAAGCTTTTACATATTCTTAAGAGAAACTTCCCTAATTCTTAACTGCATCCTTGCTAATTTCTAACAAGAACAATCACAACAGGAATGGTTTGGAAAGGGGAAGACTTGATTCTACTTCTACAACACCTGTTTATCATTCTCACAACCCCAGTTCATTTAACCTGAATCATGACTATGTTCCTGCCTGCTGAAATTACCTGCTCTAACTCTGATCCTGTAACCACTTTGGTGACAGCAGGATCCCTCCAAAAAGGACACCAAACACACAGAGTAAGCAGACAAACTTCATATCCTTCCACTGTATCATCCAGGGTCAACCTCATTTCTTCAAAGATCAAGTTAAAGGATAAGGGGAGAAAATTTCAAATGACATATATGAAAGTAGAATCTGTCCTTAAATCCAGAGACTGCATGACTCCAACACAGCTTGGAGCAACATAAACTAATCCAAGAATCTCTAACACTTTGCAAAGATTACAATATATTTCAGGCCAATAATGGGTCTGCACCAAATATTTCTTGTAAGAAATATTTCATGAACTTCCTAGGAAACCTCATTTCATCTATAAAACACATTATTGTCTCAAAGTCTACAGCACTCCAAAAAAGTAATACATAATTTATTGATATAGAGCAATTTCAATTGGAAAAAAAATAGTTCGTCATTTTTAAAGACCTCATAAGCATTTCCTGGGGCAAAACCAAATACAAATCCATCAGTGGGTAATGCCTTCTCAATATGTGTGCAACTTACACAGCTGTTAATATTGATTTGTAGGAAAGGTTTAAGAGGTTGATATGCTATGGAAAGAACTGCAACAAATGTTGCACTAAGTTTCGAAAATTATTTATCACCTGCTGAAGCAACTCAGTTGCTTTGACCAGAAAGCACCACGAGATCTACATCAGTTTAACTCATTTGGTTTTACTGCCAGAATTGAGCATCATGGGTGTCTACAGGGATTACAATAATTACCGCTTTCCAACCAAAAGCTCAGATTCAGCGCATTGCTAATTAGTTCCTACTATATTTCCAACAGTCAGTATGCTTAGGTTGCTGAATGAGGTTGCTGGTCATTAGCTATATGGCAGCGATTGCCACTGCTTCTTCACGATACTACAGGACTTCAACCTAGATCAGTAAAAATTAATACCGTAACAGCAGTCATATGAGCCTGATTTTGAAGCTGGCTAAAACTAGTGGCACTTACATGAGCACCACCTGTGAAAGCAATAAGGAAAGGCACCAGAGAGCAGGAAAAGGGAGCTGGCTCTCGTATGCCCACCTTTGCATGGTGTGGTTGGACACGTCTGCCTCGGCACAGTACTTAACCCAGAGCTGCCTCTTCTGAGCAACTCCCCCAGTCGGTTTCCTATTGCTCATAGTATCTGCATGTATACCCTCAAATTTCTTCACAAAAACACTATTACAGTGCAATACAGTAATTTTGCAATTAGCTGGTAGCATTAATGTAAGAGTCACTGCATTTTATGTACACACCCAACTGCTCTGCCCCTAATCCTTACCTTTGGGCAAACTAACACGCATTCAGCAATCCTAATTAATTCACAATCTTCTCCCCTCCAGACCTATTCCCTTGTTTCCAAACTACAGTCCCAGCCCATCTCACTGAAATTCCCTGCCTGGCAGCAGAGCTCCTCCTCTCCTCACTGGCCTTCTCTCACCAGTCTTCCCTGACACTCACTCAATCCTCACAAAAACTCACCAGCACCCACCCACCCTCACTCTTCCCAACCCACCCTTAACACCCTCCTATTTTTGGCCACCCTAGTGCCACACTCGCTGACAACCCTGCTGAGGGAGGAAGGAAAGTCCCCCCGTCTGCCGGTGGCCAGCTGCTTCCTCCTCCCTCGCAGGGAGGCTGCCGGCGCCCCAGGGCGCCCTGCACCTCTCCTGCCCTCTCCGCTGTAGCACCTGTGTCACACCTGCAGCTTTGAAGTGAAATAAATGACAGGTAGCTGCTGTCACAGCGATATGCGTGCACACGCGAGCGCATGCAGGCAGTGCAACTCCCCGCTTTGAGTTTCCCCCAAATCTCCTCTCCCTCTCCATCAGAGATGCCATGAAAACCTCCCATCCTCAGGGATGCAGTGGAGTGCCAGTGGACACCTGGCCACCCTCCCCTTCATTTCTTACCTGTTGATCGTTTCTTGGGGGACTTGAGGCTCCTCATCCGGCCCGGAGATGACATCCCACTTTCGCTCATGGAGTCATGTGCCGAGGAGGCACTGCCAGTGGCCTCGCTGTCCCGAATCATGCTCTCATAGCCGCTGCTACCACCACTGTGGTAAAACAGAGCCGTTCTCCCCATGGCCGGCGGCAGCTCCCCGCTTAGTACGCTGCTGTTGTCACTGCCATGCCCGCTGCTGTACCGCTGAGGTCGCCGGGGCGCCGTTATCTTGCTGTACGGAGATGGCAGCACTGGGATTTGCGACTTCTCGTCACTGAGGTTAATGCCACTGTCGTTGCCACTGTCAGAGTCCGTAGAGCCTCGGAAGCGGCCTACCTTGGCAGAGCCACCTGATACCAGCTCGTTCACACGGCTGTTGGCCGCCCTCATGGCCTGCTTGGTCCCCATGATGGTCCCTCGGCCAGGTTTGCCGCTGACAGGCTGCATGGAGCGGGGCGCTGCCTTCCCACCAGGGGCCATGCCAGAGCCCTTCCCTGTGGGCTGCACCAGGGACTTCACAGAGGAACTGAGAGACTTTGACCCACTGGCAGAGAGGCCTCGGTTTTTACTCCCATTTGCTTGCACCTTCTGGTTAGCTGTGGGTTTTGCCTGGCTGTTTTTACCAGGCACAGGGGTGGTGAAGGGTGGTGGCAAACCCACACTGGAGGCAACAGGGGGGACCCCCAGCCTCGGGACAGAGCGCCCTGCCCGGCTGTTGCTGGCGCTCCCATTCTCCCTCACCATGCTAGCTTTGGATCCAACCGATGTCAGGCTGTCACACCTCTCCAGGGACATGTGGCTCCCATAACGGTGAACGGCTTCACTCTTTGATGCCTTCGTCTTTAAGCTGGACGTCATCTTGGGCAAAGAGTGGTCACCCTTCAGGTTCATTTTGCTGCTGGCACTTTCGCCGAAGTAAGACCCAGCTTTCAACCGCAAATCTGCTTCATCTTCAGCCTTTGGCGCGGCAGCTCTGGCGAAGTCCAGGGTGGAGGATTTTACCCCACCATTACCCAGACCAACAGGTTTCTGCTCCAGGCTTGATTTGCGTACAGGAGGTGTTGGAGGTGTTGGCCCACCTGGCCTGGGCAACATGGTGGACTTCTGTGAAGCACTCTTCTTTCCCAGTGATGATTTCAAGCTGCCAGTGGCCAAAGGAGCATCTGAATTCCCTCGGGTCACAGCCTCCGACAAAGTACTGTTAGCGTGCGACACTGGCATCACTCCCAGTGTGGTGGCTCCTCTCTTCAGCTGTGGCATCTTCATTGCAACTTCTGACTTCTTTGCAGCTCCGCTGGAGGATTTGCAGGCCATTTCGCAACCATCCACAACCCTCTGCGAACAGGCAAGCATAGTCTGCGACTTCGTTGGCCTGGATGCTGCGTCAAAATACTGGGCAGCTTTTCCTGGCTGCTTCTCAGTACCAAATGTGTGAGATTTTGGAGAAAGCAGTGAGTCTGCAGGTTTTGCTTCCAACTGATAATCAGTGCGCAACAGCCAGGGATCTTCAAATATACCATGTGGATTCTGAAGCTCTTTACAGCTGAGGACAGTATTATTGTGGATTGGAGACGAGGTAGTTTTTGTTTTCCTAGGAAGACTAGAATGTATTGTTTCTATCACAGGCATATCATGAGAATTACTAAATTTAATTTTTACGGGCTGATCAGTGACACAAAAAGCACTTTTTATATGAGATGCTTTGGTAGTTTCAGAGGTTTGAGGGCTTTTGCTGATGCCCGAGGACAGCTTGCTGGAACCCAAGCTCTCACTATCCAGTTCAGAGAAGCAAAATCCACTGTCGTTCAGAGTGCTTTTCAGGGGGACAGATAAATGGGATGCATCCAAGTTGAAGGCTTCCTCAGACTTATTACAGCTGTAAGATGACTGTGCTACAAAACTGTCACTAGACTGGGCTCCATCACTTTCGATTGTACAGATGCTGACTTCACTAAGCCACGAACTGATGGAGGAACGTCTGCTGCTGGTAAAGGGATCCTTAGCAAAGGGGACAACAATGTCAATATTTACACCAGTAGAAGTCTCCTGGGAGGTATAAGCATCAAACTCATCGTTTATGCTGCTGATAATACTGACTGGTCTCGAACCTGATGCAAGGGCCTGAAGGGAGCAGTCACTGTTAAAGCTAATGATACTGGAAGGTCTTCCATTATCCATAATCCCGCTAATGGATAGTTCTTCCACCACAGTGAAAACAAGCTCATCCTCTCCATTCAGCTCAACAGGCTGCTGCAAAGTCACCGTGGTGGTCAGTATATCCCGATCAAAACATTTCCCTCTGAATGCTGACCTGAAGCTGTGTACCTCTATTGCACCTGACTGATTCTGGGCATTGCTACCAACCAGGAACGTGCTCCCTACAGGGTTTTGCTCAGGTTTGTTTCCCATCTGTTTGCTCATTCCCACAGGAGGAGTCCGAACTGCATTGCTATTGTCCAGCTCCAAATTCTCAGCTTTGGAGTTCAGTACATGCTCTTTCTGCTGCGCAGGTGGAGGTGCTGGGCTTGGCAAGGGCCTCTTCACATACAAGGACTTTTCTTTAATGACGCATTCAGCTGTGGCCTTATTCTGCTCCAGATTCCTTGAAGGGCTACATCTTGAGGACTGTAGGGAATCGGTGATTGTCTCTCCCTCTCCCTCCAGTATAGAGTCTACTATTTTGTTGTCAGCTCTGCTCTGCAGCTTGGAAAGCTCTGTTTTCAACTGAGGTGTGCTCTTTTCATGACAATTTCCATTGACACCCCTTGGTGCAACAGCCTGGAAAGGAAGGTTATGTCCTTTTTTGGGAGATGCAGTTTCTTGTGCAACTGGTTTCTTAAATCCACCAGAAGGAGAAGATATTTTTTCCTTTATCAGCTTAGACTGAGCATTTTCTGTACCTCCAGGGACAGGACTACAATTAGACACCACAGAGATTTCTCCACAAGCAAATCTGATGGGTTCCTCACTTCCATCAATGCACTCTAATCTTTCTTGCAGTTCAGCAAAAGTGTTGCATTTAAAATGGTCCTTGTCAGAACTCCTACCAATAGCAGAATTGTCTTTACTTCTCTTCTTGTTTAAGGATGGGATTATGGGAACAAACTCTGGAGGACCTTCATTATCTGTCAATTCCCTGTCAGACAAAGCTGCGCCATTGGGACCAACATAGATGACAGTATCACAAGACTGTTCACTGCTGGAGGAGTAATCAGGATCACTAGATATACTCAGGACAGGAAGGTCAGGGTCAAGGGCAACAGTTCGTGGGTGGAACGGTCGCAAATGCGGTGGTCTTCGGACATGTCCTTCTTCACATGAACTCTCTCCTCCAGACGAGCTGGATGCATACTGCAAATGATCAGTAAGGGAAAAGTTATTAATATTAATTGATAATTATACATACATAAGTACATATAATTGATTAAAAGGTCAGGTTTGCTATTTAGTCTATGCTTTGTGTATACTATCACAACTACATCTAGCGGAAAAATGGTAAAAGTGTGACTTAAAATAATAAGGACATGCCACATAGATTTTTACTGCATTAGGAGTAAGCTAACAATCACACCTTTTCAGATAACTTCCATTCAATATTATGCATTGTCTTTCTCTTCAACAGTTTTCTGTTCCTTCCTTATTGTTTTTTAATTAACACAAATAGGAGCTTTTGAGATAGTTCCACATATAACAAAAGAAAGAACAAGTGTTTGGAACAAAAAGAAAGGAATTTCAGGATTAAGGATTGGGGGCGGGATGATGGCTCAGTGCCAAGTCATTTGTCAGTTCCTCTCCTGAGCTTTTATGTATTTTGTATTACTTCTTACTGCCGAGAAATCCCATGTTCCCCCACCGAGAGGTCAGGAAAACTCATTTTCAAATGAATTAATTTCTGCTTGTTTGGGAACCAACCTTGGATTTTTTCTTTCTCATTCGGTGGATTCGCGATGCAAGCTGAATGGTGGTGAGAGTTTCTGCATAATTGGCCGGGGAGTCAGAAATATGCGCAATCATAGTAGTTCTGCAGTTGATGTTCCCAAGCGATTCCCTCAACAACATTGTCAATTTGTTGTCCCTGTGTAACAAATGAGAACACTAGGATGGTTTAAAGAAATCACAATCTTTTTTTTGCAGATTTTTACATCACAAGCTGCGCTTTCATTCTCACAGGATATATGCATGTGTGGTATGTGTAGATAACAAGCATGCTCCTATATTTTGACCACATTTAAAATGTGTCTAAATGTATGCATACGAATATATCAATACTTTAATTATTTATCTGCCCGTGTATGCAGTATGAGAAGTCATTTTATTTGCTACTTAGATAATTGTAAAACAATTGCTTGATAACTAGTTTAGTTATCTCAGGTTTAGTTCATATTACCAAAAAAGCTCACGAGTGCTGTATTTTTAGCTGAGCAGACTTAGTACCTGTATAGCTAAGCTCTGTGAGCTCTATGCAAACAATTTTGATAGTAAGAAAAAAATAAGTCAACAGAAATGGTAAGAAAACTCTAAATAAATATAACAATTTAGATATCAGAAATACATTATCAGTGCCACCCCAGCTAATCTAGTTTCCATTCTGCCTGCTGTGCTCTGCTCTGACATAGCAAATGGGAAGCAGAATTTCTCTCAGAAGGCTTTCCTGGTGATGCAAGTCCTCCACCACGGACAGCAAAGCTGACAAGACAGGTGACATTTTGTCCTCCACTTGTCTCCAAGACCTCTCTCCCCAGAGCTCTCTGGAGGCTGCTTCCTATCGCTCCCCTGAGCTGGCCCAACACGTGGGAACTACTGTCATGTCTGCTCAATAAGCCATGGTAGGTGACAAAGTTGAGGATCTGCCCTTCCCTATTCTAACTCATCCATCCTCTACTCCATCCACAAACCTAGCGACTAGCCTGAGGAAATTAACTTTCTGCCTAATACAGAAAGAAAGAACACCTGTTTGAGATGCAGCACTAGGTAAATATGTGAAATGACATGATTGATAACAACAGCATGAAGTTATAACGCAGGAAGACAAGCAGCAATTAAATTTAAGGACTGAAGGCCAGGTTCTGGTAAGGGCGTTTACAATGTGGCTGTTGTCTTTAAGCTGGGCTGCCCACAGGTGTGTTTGACACAATATTGTTATCAAGTACACTCCACAAAGGAACACACCTAAATGTTTGCTTCTGCTAAACAAATGTGCAACATGGTGGTCATCTTATTTTTACTTTAAAAGATGTATCATTCAAAAAAGCATACAGAAATAATAACCTTTGATAACTATACTTGATAAACTCTCTAGTATTTTCTGAAATTTCAATACAATTTTTAAATTTTGAAAAAGGAGAGAAAATTCTAGGAAATTTTGATGACATTTTCACTAATGTCTAGCTGGCTGAGATTAGTCTAAATTCCAAATCCAAGAAACAAAGAGGAGATAGAAGGAAAGAAAACATTTGGGCCCTTTTCCCCTGCGTTTTTCAACAATCAAATCCTCCCCAACCTTTCACCCAACCTTAAGTTGGGTGAATATATGCATGTAATTTTTGGCCACATAATTAAAAATTTCATGCTACTACATGACACTCAAAAAGTGGTGTGCATGTATATATAAGTACAGACAGGTAGATGAATAGATATTTGTATCTCTAATACAAAGCAACCTTAAAAGAAGACAGACCCCTTTCTGACAGAACTTCCTTTAACTTCATCCTAGGTAAAGAGTAAATTGTTGCTGCAATTCATTGCTAAGGTAACACCAGCCACAAATTTAAGATAATGCAGACAATAATTCACTTACTTATATGGCACATGCTTAGCACCATTAATTAAGGCCAAAATTACATTGCCCAAGGCAGAGAGAGACAGACACAGAGAGCCTCCTCCATCTCGGCTCTTGCTCAGCACTTTTTCACAGCTCCCTAGATCAATGAGATGCAAACGGCTGCGTCCTCCAGACACTAAAACAAAAAGGGGAAAAGCAGTTGTACATCACGTTCTTGCATGGACTCAAGCCAAACTTCGTATTCAAAATGTATTCAAATGAGGAAAATAATGACCAAATTAAATATTAATAGTAAGGAAACCAGATATTAGCCACAGCTACCAAAGTTTAAGGTGACTCGACTGGCTTGAGGGTTCACTTCATTTTTTCTTTTTAAGTTAATTAAATTATCATTTAAACTAACCAAAACCTACGTCATTTAAAAATAAACAATATAGTAAGAAGATTCATACTTCCTCCTTTGCCACTCTTCTCCATGCGATACTGGTATATGTGAAGAGTAAAGAGCATATGTGAATTCCTCCTATCTTCTTCCTCGCATTCAGGTTTGCTGGTACTTCTGGCAGCAATTGCAGCATCAAGGAAAAAGGCAGCTTTCTCTGCTGTCGGGGCCCTTAGCTCACTTTGGTTTTGAAGCTTGAATATAAACAAAAAAATGACTAATTAGCACAGTGGCTTTTTTTTTTTTTTTTTTTTTACATTTTTGCTGAACTGGCTAAATTTCTAGGGCACTAAAAGAAACAAGTATGTACACCATGGGAGAAGGACTTATAAATTAAAAGCAATAGATTTTTTTTACTGTCTTAAAAGTTGTCCTAATTGTTGTCAGATAAAAGGAAATAAAAAACAGAAGAAAGTCAGGCTTAGAAAAATCTATGTTGTGATATCCATTATACCTGGGTTCCACATATTGGATCTTCTCTCAGATAAACCCCAGGAGACTGGCCATCCTGAAGGCTGCCACTGGCTACTTCAGCTAACAAATCCTTAAGGTTTTCATCTTTGCCACTGATCTCCACAGCAGATACTCTAATAGAGAAACGAGTCCCAGTTTTTTCTTTACGTTCATTGATTAATTTGAAGAGCCAAGAAATTGCACAGGGGATGATACCAAGGCTTTGCGTGGAGTTATCTTTCCCAATCATGGTAAAAGATTTTCCTAGAATGAAAAGACAAGCATGAACTTAATTCACCTTTCTTGTACAAGACTGTGTTCATATCACCACCGTACACTACATGCAACGCCATGTGCTGCACAGATAATGGGAAAGAATAGATGCAAAAATGCAAAGTATTTAATTATTAATCCATTACTATTTATTCAATTAGTTTTGCAATTTTTGTAACACAGATCCACAGCAAATTAATGTTAAAAACATCTCTGACCTTTTGATTTTCATCACAACTCACCTATATAAACTTGATCTTCAATAAGCTAATCTGATGTTACATTTTACCTTTTCAAATTAAAACTTACAATCCCAGTGTAGAAATAAACTATGATAAGTTTGCAAAGCTAATTAAAAAGAAATTCTAATCTATTCATATACTCCAGGTTTATTGTTCCAGGAGCTGACAGCATGTAATTACCAGACTGACATAGTAATTAACTGTAACGAATTTGGGAGCTCACCAAGCTTGACGTGACCAAAGCAAAATATGCAACCATCTGCACCATTCACAACAGACTGGATTACTTCTGCTACTGTTCCAGAGCATACCTCAGCCTGAAAGAAAGATTGGAGACAAGTAAGTAAAAGAGCATATACTCCTATGGTTTTTACTGTTCTTCTGTAATGAAATGAATTACTCAATATTTTTGAGGCACAATATTCTCCCCATTTTTATGGCATCAGTCCTATTATTTTAGTCACTATGCTACCTTAAAAATAATAAAATATGCTACTACAGCCTAAAATAGTTTTCAATTCTATTAAACCAATTCTCTTGGAATATTGATTTTATGACTAATGTAGCAAACTGAATGCTATCCAACCAGGTTTCCTGCTGGTATAATAGCTTCAGCAATAGTAGGAACTCCACTGAAATTAAGCTACTCAAGAGTGCTCACAGGAATTAGAAAGACATTCACACTGGAAAAAAATGCATTAAGATCCCTGAATAAGATTTCACAGTATCACATTTTCCTCTTCCATGGGAAACACCATCATCAATAAAGAGAACTTGCTAAAATATTTGAGTGTACCAAAACCAGTTTATCCACATCAGTGAAAGTTTCAAATATACAATAAGATGATCTACTAAGTACAGCAACTGGGGGCAGGGAAGAGGGTTCGTGTAAATATGTAACTACAGTGAAATGAGAAGACTCTGCAGGTGCATGGCAGCAAGCTTGCCTCGAGCCACAACGCCTGCACGGGAGTGGCTGCACTGGCCAATGTCACCCAGAAACATCACAAACAGGCCACTCAACAGGCACACCACAAGGACCTGAAAGAGCCTAGCCCAAACCAGGGGTCAAACACCTGAAGGACTGGTGCCAAAACCAGCAGAGAAGCAGGCTGTGACCAGCCACCTTGCAGCAGGGCTGGCAATGTAAGTAAGCAAAAGCAACTTCCAGTTCTGGACTAATGTTGAGATCACTGTTGCATATTTCTGCACAAAGACACCGCTTGAGCTTATGCAGAATCTTAAAAACAGCCTCGTGTTGTGGTTGCCATTGCTTTAGGCACTGATGTGTGTGGGAGGTTATTCTTCATCTCTAGTGCTTGGCTAGAACTTTGTTCATACCTCTCGTTCAGGACCCAAGAAATTAAACAAAATCCTAGGAGAAGATCTGAGGCTGAATGAGATCTTGTCATGTTTTCTCAACATTAATATACCATTTTCACTTTGGATGTTTTGTGGTGTGTTTTTCACCCTAATGTTTTTCAGCACTTCAAACTTAGAGTAGTTCTTCATGTGCTGCTGAATTTGTTCTTTTTTAAAGGTGTTCTAGGATTTTTTTCCTGAAGCTTTTTCCCAGAAGGAAATTTCAGGTGTCCATGAGTACAATCTCACCAAATATACTGCAGCCCACAATCCTCTCAAATACCAGCTATCCATCTGCACATCAGATTTCAGTTCTGAGGCTGATACTGTACAAACACACACTTTTGCAGGCCAAAAGGAAGGCATGCACCACCATCAGCACAAACATCAAGACAAAATAATCAGTCAAAAACACAGTATGAACAAACTGGAAAAGCCAAGGAAAACATAAAAGCTCCCTAACTGTTTCAACATAGCAATCCCACGGGGTTAGCTGTATTTCTTCTCCTAACAACAGCATTTAGTTTAGCATTAAGCACATGTTCATTTCCCATTGAAAGCAGTGGGGAAGGACTTTATTTCAGTGACATCAAATGGGTTAAAAACTAACTGGATAGAAAAGTGAATTTCAAATTGGCTGTGTCTTTCTCTAACACAAGAAAATGCAGGAAGATAATTCAGTCAGCAAATTCATCTCCCCAGCTATTATTCCTTAATTTTACATCTTGACTAAACCAAAAATGTAAGAATTTACTCACTTCTCTATTAATAACTGTATTTTTTCCTGGCATTAAGGCAACTCATTCAAATAAAATTCCCCAGAAACAGAAAGAACTCTTCAGGCAATAAATACAGAGAAGACTCAGGAGGTTTATGCGAGTGACTCCAGTACCTGCGAAGCATCCTGGGGGAAAACCGCATCAAAGGCAAACATCTTTGGGACAGCAACAACACCTCTTCTGTGACCTGCATTGGAAGGCCCACTTGTCGCTGGATCATAAAATGTGATTTGCTTTTTTCGCGGGTCTACCTTTAGGAAGGACATGGATTCAGATGTTTCATGTGCTCCTTGAGAGGGACAAATCCTTACCATTACTTTCACCTGCAAGAATTCAGAAGAAAGCAACCACTTGAGTTCCCAGCTACAGATAAACACATGCAAAGCATTCCTCCCAAACCCACTCCCCTTCCCATGACAGGCTCATTTGTTATACTTTGGAGTGTCAGAACAACCGTGGGACAAAACCAGAGGCAGATTTTCCAGCCTGGTTTCCACCCTGGGGTCTTCAGCTTTTAAAGGTGCACTTTGTCCCTTCAGTTGACTTCGTTCCAGTTTTACCATTTCAATTTATAAATGTCTGATCTGCAGGTATAATCCACTGTAGGTGTAATACCATGCCTAAAGAAAAGGAAACTCTAGTCTCCTACCTTTCAAGTACTCAATGTGACCAAAAGCACAAATCAATCCACTCTGAAAATCTGTCTGAATAACGCATAGCTAGTGCATGCAAATCAAACTAAATCTAGAAACTTTCAATTCCTTGTTCACATTCTTCTAATAAAAAGGTGCTTCTCTTATAGCTTTTCCAGGCAGATGCCTTTATGCTATCATTGCTAGGCTGTTTGGTGGCTAGGTGCAGATTTAACAGGAAAGAAGGCAAGAAAAAAAAAAAACATTAAAAGGTCAAAAAGCTTGAAGAGATACCACTCACAAAGTACATTTCTATTACAGCATTGCAAATGCTTATTTCCTACATATGGCACTTTAAGACAGCATTTTTAGAGAGGTTAGACATGCTGGCTGTGATTTCCAAAGCAGCTTATGGAAGCCAAGTGACTGGGTCTCACGGAAGTTCAGCAAAGGCTGCACACCTGCTTCTTTTAAGCTTCCTGGAAATCATACCCTTAACTCTGAAAACCTGTGAAATACTGCCTCACACCCACTCAAAACCATTTATCCTTACAAAATAGTCCCAGGTCAGAACCAGTGTGTTTCATACACCTTGCACTGAAGTAAATGACTATTACAGGCACAACTTCAACTCTGCACTGCCCAGCAGATCAAACTTAAGAGAAAAGCAATGCTCAGGCAGAGTGACTTTCCACAGCCAGTAGGAAATGTTTCAATAACAATCTGAACAACAGCATTATCTTCTCATCCAACTACCAGACAACTTTCACAGCGCCAGTGTTAACCATCTAATTTCACTGGGTGAAGAGCCTCCAAGGCTGTAATAATACGCCACAGCCAGCACAGCTAGAACAATTTACACTCATACTCTCCAGAGCACCCATCAGGATTTTCATCTTCTGCAATGCAACCACTGACCTGCAAAACACCTGCTCCTTTTACAGCACTTGCACCTGATTTGGAAGGGGAGTGACAGATAGCAACCCCTCTGCTGCAAACCTACCAGGTGAACCCTCCAAACACAGGGCACGCAGTCACTTGCTGATGAGTCGGCACTCAGCACTGGTGAGGCCACACCTCGAATGCTGGGTGCAGTTTTGGGCCCCTCACTACAAGAAAGACACTGAGGTGCTGGAGCATGTCCAGAGAAGGGCAACAAAGCTGGTGAAGGGTCTGGAGAACAGGTCTGATGAGGAGCGGCTGAGGGAACTGGGGCTGTTTAGTCTGGAGAAAAGGAGGCTGAGGGGAGACCTTATCACTCTCTACAACTACCTCAAAGGAGGTTGTAGCGAGGTGGGTTTCTTCTCCCAGGCAACAAGTGATAGGACAAGAGGAAATGGCCTCAAGTTGCGCCAGGGGAGGTTTAGATTGGACATTAGGAAAAATTTCTTCACTGAAAGGGCTGTCAAGCATTGGAACAGGCTGCCCAGGGAAGTGGTGGAGTCACCGTCCCTGGAGGTATTGAAAAGATGTGTAGAGGTGGCACTTAGGGACACGGTTTAGTGCAGGTTAGTGGTTGGACTCAATCTTAAGAGTCCTTTCCAACCTAAATGATTCTATGATTCTATGAGTCAGGCCCACCTGTAGCCCTGACCTAGACGTTACATGCGGAAGCTGGGTTGGAAAGCATGCACCTCTGATAAAGAACGATCCTCCTTTTCAGTAACTTCTTGTTGCTAAATTTAACCTTAGATCTGCCAGAACAATTTGACTCCTACTTACTACGTTCTGAGACATTATGTCATTAAAATGGTGTGCACTTATCACACTGACAGATTCTTTGTGTCTTTACAAAAAAAATGTGCTTTGCAGTCAGCACTTCCCTGTCACTGCTGTAGCCAGAGAAATAATGGCAAAGGAAGAACCAAAGCTGAAAAACTACTTTAGCAAAACATGCAATAGAGACCAGAGAGACTGAGATACCCTCTAGGACTGCCCTTCTTACCAGACAAGGTGAAAAGGTGATGGCATACACACCTGCACCCATGTGGGTGCAGCGAAATGTAGTGCCCAAGCCAGGATGATCCATAGCAGGCAGGTGGGTGCAGCAGTAAGCACCATGCCGAACTGTTCCTGCCTTTATCAGCTGGGGAGGGTGGGTAATTTGAAGATTTCATTTAGGTCCTCAACTGTTCCATTTTTCCAGCTTCTCCTTTCTACACGGACTAACTAGGCTGCACCTAGGCATCCCTGCACAGTTACTCAAGCATCCTCACAGAAAATACTTTCCACAAAGCAGCTATAAAAGCTTTTCCCCAACATTTTTTCCAAACAAAGAGGTTAAGAAACAACCAACCCCTTCAGTAAACACTGCAGGAGGCTCCACCAAAGGCAGCAGCAAATTCTTCCACCTATTGACTCAAGCAGTCCCCTGATTTCAACACTTTCTTTTCTTTCCCCTTTCATAGTGATATGAATATGAAAATACATTCCCAGAAAATAAGCATACCTTAGAATAAATGAAACAGCTGCTTCAAAAGCAAAGTGCATCAGAGGTGACACACTCAAGGCTGTTTCCCCATAAAAGCTCCATGAAGACAGCTTTGTGTGTTAGACTGTTAGCTCAACCTTGACATGCTACCAAGGTGCTCAGAAAAATAACCTCCCTCAGGAAAAAAAAAAAAAAAAACAAAACCTAAATATATATATATATATAAGCACAAATGCACACTTCAGGGTCACTTGATTAAAATGAATTTTAAAATATATGCTGTTTTCAAAGCACTTCTCTGAACAGTTCTTTCTGTTCTCACTTCCACCTATTATTAGATTATAGCAGCCAGAGCTTGGATAACAGGAAAATTGGTTTGCTCCTGACCTAACCAGCAAGTTACTTCCATCAGAGCATTGCTCCCCCTAACACAAAGATGGCTTCACCCCCAGAAAAACCTTTTGTGTCAAATTAGCTTTTTGAGACCATCTCTCTGAAGCAGAAAGATACTAAAATAGCTTCCCATAATGGATTAGATCCCAAACTTAAGAGGCCTCAAGGGTCATCTTCATTTTCACAGTGGAAGTGAGCTTTTAAGGCAAATGGGAGGGGGAAGAGAAAAGCAGCTTGAGGGAGATTCCTCTTTTAGTCTTTCGTGTATAAAAGATGATTTGCAGAGTAGAAAAACACTGATTTCAAATTTAGTTTCTCTTCTCACTAAATCTATCCATAAGTGATGCCTACCAGAAATTGTAGAGTTATAATGTGTCACATTCATGATACTGAGCGAGACTCCAACTTTGCTCAGATATGAAGCGGAAATGCTTGTGAAAGTACCAACAAGCATAGAGATTACTCAAACATATCCCTTCGCAATAGCAAAAACTAAGTGCAGGCAGATCCCAGGTGCATGCACACGCTAAAAGAAAGGTTTGGTGTTATACTATTTATTCTTCTTACACTTCTTGCCATTCTATGTTTCAGGACCAATCTTAAGAGACAGATTTATATTCTCAGCTCTGAAGTTCATCCCAGTACTCTTCTGGGATGAGTACTGCAGAAAAAGCAGTATACTACCGCGCCAGCATGGTTTCTGCCTTAAGCATCAACTTAACTGCATCTTCTCCTGGGTGTCTTTATCTAGTTCTCATACAAAAGGCATGCTCACCTGTACACATAGCAACATGCAGTGGAGGAAATCATCCAGATTCAAGGGCTTGCAGTGAGGGAAGGATTCAAGAAAACACAGGAACCTGTAAATCTTACAGTAACTTTGGCCCATAACTAGGGAGCAAAGCAGCAATACCTGCACTGCACGCTAATGTTTTTATTTGTTTATGAAAATGAATTACTAGAATTAAGCGCAATAACATTAATTTCAGGCCCATCCAGGATCACACCCTCTGTGGGCAGTTATTCAACAATATGGCCAGCTTTCTGGTGGTCAGTTCCAACTGCAGCAGTACCAGCTACTGGTAACACTTGTACAAAGCAAAGAAACACAAGATAAGGAATTTAGAGGAGAATGGATGAATAAATGGAAGAATAAGACAGGTCTGAAAGAACAAGAACAGGTCGGGGGG